AGCAAAGGATAAGATGTTCAAAGAATTCATGCATTTCACTATATAATCATGATTAGAGCCTCACCCTAACACAAGAACCCCTGACCCTGGGGCCATAAAATTAACAATTTTGGTAGAGGGACTCTTGCTCGTCATAACTACGTACTTATTTGGTTTATTTAATGCCAAGGAGCAGAGGAAGAAGATTTTCAAAGAAATAATGCATTTTCACTATATACCTATTTAGCCCCTCCCTAGCACTAGAACCCCTGACCCCAGGGCCATAAATTTCACAATTTTGGTAGAGGACTCATTGCTGATTACAATCATGCAAACAGTTTGACTGCTTGATGTCCAGGAGTAAAGAAGAAGATTTTTAAAGATTGCATTAATTTTAGTGGTTTTGGCCCCACCCCTCTGGTCCCAGGGGGGCAGGGATCATGAAATTCATAATTTTTGTTCCCCTTCACCCATAGACATGATAGATGCTTTGTGCCAAATTTGGTTGAAATTGGTTCTGTGGTTGCAGAGAAGCTGAAAATGTTCAAATGTTAACGCACGACAAACGACGAACGACGCACGACGCACGGCGACGGATGAAAACAGATAGCAATAGGTCACCCGAGTTTACTCAGGTGACCTAAAAATGAATCTTAAACTTCATTGTGTATTTAAATCTTGAATACTGTTCAATTATTTCCATATATTTCATCTAGAACTTTCCCGTACACAATATGTCAACCCAGTACACAGTGTAGATTTACTGAACACCTGCTACAGAAATACACACCATTACTAGACAGAGCTGTGTTAACGTCAGTGTTGTCTATATCAAATTGTCAACATCAGTATAAATTGTAATCTCTTCTGAATATACAATTACAGTTACTTAAAGTCAATACATTATAAAGGACATTGTAAAACCAGAAGTCTCTGTCAAGACTGTAGCTCTACTGGTTTATACTTAAAACAAAGGAATAGAAATGTAGCAGTTGGGACTTGAAAATTTAAAACAGCAATAAAAAGAAAAATGATCCTCGCCGCTCTCCAAAATAAAACCTGATCCAAAGTATTATGTATTATATATTATGTATTATGTACCTAGGTATAGTCTACTTGTGTGCCAAGTTATATTGAAATTGGACCGAAACAGTAGGAGGAGTAGCATTTTGAAAGCATTTCAAAGAAATTTCTATTTTTAGTAACCAACTCCGTTCATCAAAATCAAAAACTGATGCACAGAATTATGTATCTTAGTGTAGTCTACTTGTGTGATAAGTTATATTAAAATCAGTCCAAAACTGAAGGAGGAGTAGCATTTTGAAAGCATTTCACAGAAATTTCTATTTTTAGTAACCACGGCAGCACCGTTCATGGAAGTCAAAATTTGATGCACAGAATTATGTACCTTAGTAAAGTCTACTTGTGTGTCAAGTTATATTGAAATCGGACCAAAACTGTAAGAGCTAGGAATAGCATTCTGAAAGCATTTCAAAGAAATTTCTATTTTTAATAACCAGGGCAACCCCGTTCAGCAAAATCAAAATCCGATGCAAAGAATTATGTATCTTAGTGTAGTCTACTGCAAAATGAAAACCATCTATCCTTCTGTGTTCAATAAACCAGAAGTGAAAAAAGAATTAGATAGATTACACAATCAGTACGTACTGGTTCCTGCCGACAAAGCAGGTAACAACATTGTCTTCGTTTGTAAGGCTCATTATATTAATTGCATTTTAGAAGAACTTGGATTTAAATCTACGAGTGGTAATCCTACTTATACATATACTACTCTTTCTAAGGACGAAATTCTTCAAAATCACCTGTCAGTTTTGAATACTTTTACTATTCCACAGAGCCAAAATGAATTTGAACTACCTTATATATATTGGATTCCGAAACTTCATAAGAATCCTTACAAACAAAGATACATTGCAGGTTCCAGTAAATGTTCAGCCAAGCCTCTTTCGTTACTCCTCACTAAAATATTGACAGTAGTGAAGGAAAAACTTCAAGAGTACTGTACAACTATATATTCAAGAAGTGGTGTAAATCAGATGTGGATACTTAAAAATTCTAAAGAACTTTTGGACAATTTGAAATCACAAGACTTTACAAAAATCAACAGCATAAAAACTTACGACTTTTCAACTTTATACACAACAATTCCGCACGACAAATTAAAATCCAGGCTTTTTGATATCATTGACAGCTGCTTCTTCAACAAAAATGGAACTCGTAAGTTTACTTACCTCGTCATTGGTCATTTGAAAAATTATTTTGTTAAAACAAATTCTGATTGTACACATAAGTACTCCGAAGTTGACATCAAGAAGATGCTTGAGTTTCTGATTGACAATATCTATGTGGTTTTTGGAGACCAGGTATTCCAACAATCTATTGGAATTCCCATGGGTACAAATTGTGCTCCGTTATTAGCAGACTTATTTTTATATTCATATGAAGCAGAATTTATGCAAAATCTTTTGCGTGAAAAGAAAAAAACACTTGCTGTGGCCTTCAACTCGACATTTAGATATATCGACGACGTATTGTCAATTAATAATGATAACTTCCATTCCTACGTCGACACGATATATCCTGGTGAGCTTGAGATAAAAGATACCACAGAGTCCAACACATCTGCTTCATACTTGGATATTTTACTTGAAAAAGACACAAATGGTAATCTAACAACCAAGCTATATGATAAACGTGATGACTTTAACTTTTCTATCGTCAACTTCCCTTACTTATGCAGCAATATACCTTCATCACCTGCATACGGAGTATTTATATCTCAGTTGATTCGATACGCAAGAGCATGCTCTACGTATGAACAATTTCTTAAACGAGGTAAATTATTGACAAGCAAGTTGATGAAACAAGAATATCAACAGTCTCGTTTAAAGTCATCATTTCGTAAATTCTATGGTCGATACAATGACCTTGTCAGCAAATACAATTTATCATTGAATGAAATGCTGACTGACGTTTTTCATACCTATTGTTAGTCCATTATTTATACACTGAATTGACTACGGATTTTTTCCGTTATTTCCTGATTATGACAATGAGCACACGGCGGGTGTGACCGGTCAGCAGGGGATGCTCACTCCTCCATGGCACCTGATCCCACCTCTGATGTTTCGGAGGTCCGTGTTTGCTCTGCTCTTGTTTTGTATATTTGCTTAATGGACGTTGAGATTGAATACTGTTCGTTATTTCCATATCCTTAGTCTACTTGTGTGATATTGATAAGTCATATTGAAATCGGTCCAAAACTGTAGGAGGAGTAGCATTTTGAAAAATTGTTTACAGACGGACGGAAGCCGGACGCATTACTATCGCATAAGCTCTTCTGGTCTCTGACCAATAGAGCTAAAAATATTTTAAAAATTGCATGATCTGTTATTTCTCAAAACTGGTCATACTTCACCAATTTATTTATCGAACAAAACAGCACAAAATTTCAAAAGTTGATATTCCCCCAATGACAGCACATGGTACATGTATCTATAATTCAAAGCCCGTCTGTCAAACAAATAATATATATTAGGCCAAGCTTAAACAAGAGGCCCAGGGGCCACAGCGCTCACCTGAACACATCAGGCTTGAATTTACTCCAACACCCCCCCCCCCTCCAGGCTTTCATCATTTGAACAAACCAGAATCTACACTACCTGAGGATGATTCCATATAAATATCACAAATCATAGCTTTGAAGTACTTGAAAAGAAGCTTTTAAAAGGTTTCCCTATATATCCCTATGTAAAACTTGGCTCGGCCATTTTGGCCCCACCCTAGCCCCAGGGGTCATGAATTCTATAAACTTGAATCTACACTACCTGAGGATGATTCCACATGAGTTTCATCTCTCCTGGCCCAGTGGTTCTTGAGAAGAAGATTTTTAGAGATTTTTCCTATATATTCCTATGTAAAACTTGGGTCGGCCATTTTGGTCCCACCCTAGCCCCGGGGGTCATGATTTGAACAAACTTGAATCTACACTACCTGAGGATGCTTCCACATGAGTTTCATCTTTCCTGGCCCAGTGGTTCTGGAGAAGAAGATTTTTTTAAAATGCCATAAATTTTTCACAAATTCATAATTATCTCCCCTTGGAAGGGGGCATCGCCCTTCATTTGAACAAACTTGATTCCCCTTTACCCAAGGATACTTTGTGCCAAGTTTGGTTGAAATTGGTACAGTGGTTCTTGAGAAGAAGATGAAAATGTGAAAAGTTTACGCCGACGACAGACAACGGACAAATTTTGATCAGAAAAGCTCACTTGAGCCTTCGGCTCAGGTGAGCTAAAAATTCTTTGTTTGCAGTTGCCTATAATTTTTAGTCTGGGTAGGTAGGTAGGGAATTTTTTTTTTTTTTTTTGAAAAAAAAAAGTTCCAGATTTTTGATAGATAATAAAATGAGTTTTTCATAGGCCTACTATACATGAATAAGTTGCACTCTTTGTATAAACTAATGATTGATGAAGAGAGAAATTGAAAAAGTAACAGTTTTAATATCCTGAAAAATTTGAGGAGAATAATATTACAAAATGGCTAAAAAAAAGTTTGGGACGGGTGCATTTTCAGTAGGTCGGTCGGCAACTGCAAACAAACAATATTTTATTTTAGGCCTTAGATGTATGTATAAATGTACAGCAAGATATATGTCTGAGAAAAAAATTACAACAAAGTTTGAAATAAGGATCAGTGTATATAGAGTTCAATGTACATGTGACAATCAGTGATTGAAGAGTTACACACATCATCGTACAATTAATTACAGACTAGATGTACATCTATTATTTCTTTTTAATCTGTTTGTCATCTTTATAGTCATCTTTAACAGCTTATATTTGTTGTTTACATGAGCAGTCATTTCTGATCAAACTAGAACATTTGTAAATAAACACTACATGTCAAGTTATGCTTTAATGACCTCTCTATTGTAATGTAGTTATATAGTATAGGTACATGTATAATAATTGTACTATACAATAAAACAAACTACAATGTTACTTACCAGTCAGAGAGTCTGTATCTACCACTCTGTATATGTAGACTGTGCTGTGCTGTGACCCTACCCACAGTAGGTGTGAGTCATCATCATAACTCAGGCCGAATGGTGAGTATATCCCGTGATGTAGTGTGTGTATCTCAGTCATGTATTTACCATCACAGTCTAACATCTGTACTGAATTGGTTCTCCAAACACTCACCAGGATGTGTGACAGCGCGTCAGTACAGATTCCTAGTGGTCCTAGTACTGATCCTGATGGAGTACCTTTGTAGGAAAATCGGTAATTACCGTCACGATCTGTCACCACTACAACACGACGGAGCCCGTCAGACACAATAACATCTCCATTGCGGTTCTCTGTGATGTACATCGGATCACTATACAGTCCCTGACCTGTGATGTTGTCGTGCTGTATGGTCTGGATGTTTTCTCCTGTGGAGTTATACCGCACTACCTTGCCTGTCGCTGTCTCTGTATCACGTCTAAATGTCCCGACCTTGCCTGTTTTTTTATAATGAGTGTAGTAAGACATCCCGACCAGCAGGTCTCCAGTGGAGGGGGAGCTGTAGACACTCCGTGGTTCCCATGGTGCTGTGTTGTACTTTATTATCGTAGTCTTTTCTTTATTCTCTGTGGACAGTTTACTGATGTTTAATTCATTGTCTATATAAATCAGATCACCATCAAAGTTCACAGTGTGTACTCCCCAAAGATTATGACCTCCGTCTGTCACATGATTTAGTACTTCCCCTTTAGTGTTAGTCAGTATAAGATTGCCATAATAACTGATCCAGACCCGGTCTGATGTAACACGTGAAATATGACTACACCCTCTAAAATCAGACACTCTGACAGATTTCTGTATCACTCCTCTATACATTATTGACAGCAGACATCTATTTCTTTATGCTGATGTTTTATAACAGACTCCCGTGTGGATTTCCTCAGTCTTGGAGATCTCTCTGTAAATTACAACAGTATACTACAATTATAGACATCAGTTACACGTCTCTCTGTAAACATCAGATGTTTTGATAAATTATATATTATCTTAATACACTTCTAATAATTAAATTTAGAACATTAACCTGTCTCTGTTCACAATTAATCAAATAAACACATATATAAAAACCTAAACACTGGGTTCTGATTTCTTTCATTGTCTCTGTGTAGAGCAGGGTCCAGGTACTCACAATGGATGTTTATCTAAAAAAAATATTGACAGATTAAATTCCACAATGAATTTATGCTAAAATACTTCAGATTTCAATTCTTATACATCATGTAGATTGTTATATGAAAACATGCCCACCATTTCACGTTTATACAATTTACAAAATAAAATATAATCTTAAATCACAATAAAAGTTGATTTCCTTCATATATTAATCCACACAATGTATGTGACAATGTTGTGCAGTATTAAATGTAGATTATTGTGATGATGTGCCACACACACTATAAAGATAGGTATGATCTACAGTGAGCAGTATTAAATGTAGATTTTTGTGATGATGTACCACACACACATTAAAGATAGGTATGATCTACAGTGAGCAGTATTAAATGTAGATTTTTGTGATGATGTACCACACACACTTTAAAGATAGGTATGATTTACAGTGAGCTTGTGTGTATTCACAGGGTGGGGGTCCACTCACTTAGAATTTGCAGAGTACTAAACCAACTTAAAGTGACCTTGGAAAGTCGGAGATTTGATATAAGAGATATTATTTTTTTTGCTTGTGAAGAAATTTCTTAGGTTTTCTTCGGACTGGGTTGGACCCCCCCCCCCCCCCTGGAAAATGTTTTACATACAGGGCACAACAAACAAAAGACTAGAAATGATAGCAATAAGTCAACTTAATGATTCACTTGACCTAAAAATCGCATGACGTTTTTTTTCCTTAAATGATTGTTTGATTTAAGCCCTTTTCAAATAAGCATCCAGAATATTCATCTTATAGAATCGAAGGTATGGATGATTTTTTTCTAACCTGTAAGAAGTTGATTTCTTCATCTTTTTCTTAACAACTGCATATCACTATTTGAAATTCTGTCAAAAGAAATTCAGAATATAAGCTTACTTGCATTTATTTGTACATGTATGATCTTTTTAACCATTTTATTGGTGTTAAAGTAGACCAGGAGTTATTTTTTTAGGATATTTACATATAAAGATAACTCATCAGGGATTTGCTGTTCTTGAGAAGAAGTTTTTTTTGCCTCTGCAAAACTTTGTTCATTCTGGCCCCATCCTGCCCTTTGGGCTCATGATTTAAACAAATCTACGCTACCTAAGGATGATTCCACATATGTTTTATCTTTCCTGGCCCAGTTGTTCCTCAGAAGAAAAATTTTAAGAGATGCCATTAATTTTTCACTACATGTAGTTTGTAATTTTGTAATTATCTCCCCTTGAAAGATAGTGTGGCCCTTAAATTGAACTTAACTCCCCTTCACCCAAGGATACTTTGTGCCATGTTTGCTTGTAGTTTATCCAGTGGTTTCAGAAAAGAAGATAAAACTGAGAAAAATTGACAAGGACGCTTACAAGGACGACAAATATTGGACAAAGTTTGATCGAAAAAACTCACTTAAGCCTTCGGCTTAAGTAATCTAAAACATATATAAACCTGTAAAGTGGGGATGACCTCTTCTTTTCCAAAGCTATACTTTAAAATACGTCATCTAGAACCTGTCAAAATGAGTAAATGGCATAAATTATTCATTATACTTTTCAACATAATCGTGATAATATACAGAACATTTGAAGGTCTTAATTTTCCTAGAATTTTTAGTGTAATTTAATGTTTCTTTCAAACTTTACCACTTCAAATAGAAAAGCTGTGAAGGAGCAAATAAAATAAATTTGAGTGTTTGACATTGGAGCCATTTTGTGATTCCATTCTATTTCTGTCCTCATAGGCCATGATTGAACAAATATTATACATTTATTGCATGATAGTGAGGGAAATATGAAGACTTATTCAGCCAAGAAAATCATATTAACTTTCAACTTATAACAACACACTATTTTATTTTTCGCTATTTCCTAAATATATGTTTATCTTATATCTAAGGATATGTAGTTCTAGTCTCATTTTGAAAATTCTTGAATATAAGTATTATCCTTGTTTATTACAAAAGTTATTCAGAAACCTGTAGATTAACAATTTCTTAATTTTCTTCATCATTTAGACAGTTATACCTCACATCCTGGGAAATCTGTCAAAATAAAGATCAGTACATTTAGTATCTATTTTTGTAGAACATCCTTACAACAGTAGGGAAAGGTTTTTCTAAGTTGTAAGAACTTGTTACCAATCCCTTTGTATGAATTATAATACAATAAAACATGTTCAAAACAAAACAAGAACAGCACTTTATGGTTAGATATAGATATAATTATATGTAATGCAATTGTTGTAAGACAGTAAAATAATATTTCTATATAGACCGATTTTTTTAGGCTCTAGTGTATTTCTTTATCTTCTTCAAATATAATTTAAAAGAAAAATGTAAACCTGATGTAAGCCTGTACATGATGGTGATTATCTTCATAATTCTCTTTAATGTTGATATCACATTCTGCGGTAGCTGTCAAAATTAACAAAACACATTTAAAAAAAAACGAAACGATTGTTTCTTCATCAAAATAAAACACAGTTATGGTTCTTAGTACAGTGACACACCATGCCAGACTGGCAATATATTCACTGCACCAAGCAGTGCCAATGTGCAACTTTTTGTATGTGCAGAAAAAATAAAAAAAATTGAGAAAAAAAGTGTCAGTGATAAAATAGTAAGATCAAGCTATTCTAAATAGCTTAATTAAGCTATATTTAGCATAGCTGCAGAACTGTAGCTCTCCGAAAAAAATATATTGAAAAAACGGAGAACTACAGTGCCACCCATTGAAAAAAATTGTATATTTATAGTGCACAAAAATTGTGCTTAGTTCTGGATTAATTCTTCCACATTTTTACCTCAATCGCTAGAAAGCTAAATTAAAAAAAAATCCTTACTTTTCTATCAAGTACTCTCGTAATTTACATCTGTATAAAGCGCGTAAGACCAAATTTTCTTCCAAATAAAAATGGCAGTGTAAATAGACAAATTTTTTATCATCTCAATTTCAGGGCCAGGAGGGCTATTATAACAACAATTATAGGGAATATTTTGTTTGGGAATCAGTGAAAGAATATGTTAGGGTCACACAGTTAGTAATATTCTGATGTGACAGTTTAAAAAACACGGAGAAATAAACAAGAGAAACAGCGCACTTTTTTGTTCGCAATAAATATAATTTTTCAATGGGCGGTGTGATGGTTTGGGCCGTGGATATCGGCCTGGATAGATCAGTTGGTAGAGCACCTGACTAGAGATACAGGGGTCCGTTCGATTCCCGATTTGGTGCCGTTGACCACCCCTGGACTTGCAGGTGAAAGTCCTGCCAGGGGCTAATAAGAACTTGGGTTGTGTCTTTGAGGGCGAAGACAATCTAAGGAGGGAGGAATGTAATGGTTTTGGCCGTGGATATCGACCTGGATAGATCAGTTCAGTTGGTAGAGCACCTGCCTAGAGATACAGGGGTCCCGGGTTCCCGGTCCTGCCATACATTTTCTCCTTTCCTGTTACAGGCGGCACTGTAGCTCTCCGAAAAAAAAATATTGACAGACCAGAAAGCTACAGTGCCAAACATTGAAAAAAAACTGTAGGCATATATATTTAATGTGCACAAAAAGTGTGCATGGTTCTGGATTAATTCTTCCAAATTCTTATATATGTACCTCAATTGTAAAAAAGCCAGCTTTAAAAAAAATCCTTCCTCTTCTATCAGGTACCCTTGTAGTTAACATCTAGATGAAGAATGTTGGATCGAATGGCGCCAGACAACAAACCAAAATGGCAGTATAAACAGGCAAAATATTCAATGATCTCAATTTCAGGGCCAGGAGAGCTATTAAAAACAATTATAAGGAATGTTTTGTTGAGGAAACAGTGAAAAAATATGTTAGGAACACACCGTAATATTTTGTGATGACAGTTTTATAAACATGGTGGATTAAATCGAGGAACAGCGCATTTTTTGTGCGCAGTAATTATACAGTTGTTTTTACTTTTGTTTTCAATATTGGTGGCACTGTAGCTCTCGGGTCTGTCAATATATAGATCTAATTTCAGAGAGCTACAGTTCAGCTAGTGGCACTGTCGTTCTCCGGTCTATTGGAGAGCTACAGTTCTGCAGCTAAATCAAGAGATTGTGTCAAATCTGTCCCAAAATGGCCGAATAAACAAACCCACTTCCTTGTTCGTGTGACTCAGTTTTACGAATACCGTGAAAAAAACCTTACATTCATTATCAACTACAGCTGTTAATATATGTACTGTGTAGTTCCCACAATAATAATAATGTCGTTTTTCAAAGTCAAAAGGCCAAGGCCTAGATGCTGGTTTCGTTGTCTTTTCCTCGATCTTGCCTTTCAATGCAACGTCTGCGTGGTTTTGCACTAGGAACAACTCTGTCTCGCACTCCATTCGTAACTACACGGCTTTTTTCCGAAAGAGAAATAACGTTCACGGAAATGGCCGAGTAGCTACGATTGTCTCGCACTCGTCGCAGAGTCAATCGGCAATCCTCGGTTAGCGTGCGAGTACCAGCCACCCAAGGAGCTCCGAGTGTAGCGGAGTCAGCCGAGGATTGCCGAATGTAGTCGAGCAGGTGCTTAAAAATCAGCCTGCCCTAAATTTTAATACATCTGGCCAATAAAGGAAGTTTAAATGTTGTTTTTCATTTCATAAAAAAATTCATCTCCAGTTCGTATTAAAATGCCCGAATCGGAAGGGGAGATTCAGGAAATAATAAAACATCACTATGGAATTCCATTAACGACAGACAATTAACTGCTGACTGTTATCTGCCAACTGCCACCCCCCCCCCCCTGGAATTTCCAGGTCATTAAATTTATATACAACAGCAAGGAAAAAGTTAATTTGGATCCCTCCCCCCTGAGAAAACGCAGACCCCCCTGGTAAATGTGAACTTGTATTAAGTCATCGTTACCCCCCCCCCCCCCAACCCACCACCGCCACGAAAGAGGATTTTGAAATTTTGGCGACTTTACCTTTTTTTTTTTTTGCTTGTCAAGAAACTTTTGGGTTGATTCATTTTTTTTTACAAGGGTGGACCCCACCCCACCCCCGGGAAAAATTTCTGGATCCGCGCCTGCACACTTTATTTGAATATAAATTTACATATTTATCAGTAAGCCCCCAGGCTGACTAGTTACCAAGCTTGGGGCGACTTGCATTGTAAAGTAATGCATTACATTACCATTATTTCAATAATTTGAGCAATGAATTATTTACCATTACCATTGCTCCATTTTCTTAATGCATTATATTAGTACCATTACTTTTGTAAAGCAATGCATTAGCATTACCGTTACTTTTGGAAGTTTTTTAAAATATAAATTTACGAAAGCCTATTAGGATCAATCTAGAGAGAAAAAAATTAAAATGCGTTATAACGCTTTTCGAAAAGGCGTAATAACGCGAAAAAAAGGCGTTATAACGCCTTTTGAAAAGGCGTTATTTCGCCTTTCCATTCCAAAAGAGATTATTTCGCCTTTTTAAAAGGCGTTTTAACGCCTTTGAAAAGGTGTTATTACGCCTTTTCATTCTAAAAGGCGTTATTTCGCCTTTCAAAAGGCGTCATTACGCCTTTCAAAAAGGCGTTATTACGTCTTTATTTTGAATACATGACTAAACATATTTAGCCCAATCGAGGGGAAGGGGGTGGGGTGGGGGTGGGGTTTGTGCAGAAATCTTACCTTTGGGACAATAATTTTACAAATTTATACGGGAGTAATTTCTCAAAAAATAATTTAAACAGATAGACTTCCAGGAAAAAAGATTTTTTTTAATTGCGTCATATATTTTCAATGTTGAACCAACTAAGTCCTTCTTTAATACCAGGCACACCTCTACCAAGGATCATTGATTTCAATTGCACATTATACCTATGCAAATAGTTTGCATGCTTTTTTCCAAGAAGAGAGAAAAATTTCTTCAGATGACATGAATTTTAATACATGGAAAGCAAAGCTCCATGATACATCTGTCTATATCGTATCTTCACAAGTAGAGTGTTGCCTTGTCTTAATACGAATGCAAACAATTGTCAGTGTGATGTGCAGGAATATAGAGAATTGCATAAATACAGATGGTTTTAATTAAATCTTTCATATATTTATTAACATAAAATAACGCCTTTCCATTTTCCTTTTCAAGTATAGACCATGCAGTATAGTACTAGAGCGAATGAGGTACCCCCCCCCCCTTTCACACATTCCCCGGTACACACTTTTGGGGCAGGGACGTAGCATCCGGGGGACCATGGGGGGATGCCCCCCCCACTTTTTTTGGCCAAAATTACCTTTCCTATAGGAAAGAAAGGTTAGCCCCCCACTTTTTACCACACTTTTTACACCCCCCCCCCCCCCCGAAATAGGATTTAATTTCGACTTTGGGCGACATTTAACTTTTGCGGGTTTTTTTTTTTTTTTTTTTTTTTTTTTTTTTGCTTGTCAACTTTTTCAGGTAAGTAAAAAAAAAAATTCTCGGGTTGGCCCCCTCCCCCACTTTCAAAAACGATGCTACGTGCCTGTGGGGGAAAGTTTTTGAAAAGCACTGCAGTTTAGAAATTATAATTTTTTATTTAACTTTTAGGTGCTTGGTTCCTGAACATTTTGCTGCAGTGTGTAAAACTGTGATAAATTATTGCATTTAAACAGAGTTTAAGCGAGAAGTCCCCCCCCCCACGAGTTTGGCCAGTAGAGTGGGGGTGGTGTTGGGAGGGGGGTAAAAGCACGGGCCTGTTAAGGGTACTTACCACAAACAAAAAATGGATGTGCGAGGTGATATATATTTTTTGACTGATTTTGATTTGAAATGACATAAATAATAAATCCCTGAAATATAAAGAAAACGTAGGTTTTTCTTGGTGCTTAGATATGATATTTTGTTTTGCCTTCTATATAATTCCATACAAAATTGTGCACAATTTTTTAACCTTATGACAAAATCTTATATAATTCTCCCAATCTGCTTGGTAAGCATTATTCAGGTTGTCAGTTTAAATGTAAATCTATGAGAAATAATGCTGATTTCTGAAAAAAAGTTTGTTTGTGTTATTTATCCTTAAATGCAAAATAATGGTTATTCAAAAAGAGTGATAACCCTTTTGGAAAGGGTTAATAACACCTTTTAGAATGGCGTAATAATGCCTTTTGGAAAGGCGTTCTTACGCCTATTGGAAGGCGTTATAATGCCTTTTAGAAAGGCGTAATAACGCCTTTTAGAAGGTGTAATAACGCCTTTTAAAAGGCGTAATAAGGCATTTTTGAATGGAAAGGCGTAATAACGCCTTTTATATGAAGACGTTATAACGCATTTCAAAAAGGCGAAATAACGCCTTTTGGAATGGAAAGGCGTAATAACGCATTTTCAAAAGGCGTTATAACGCCTTTTTTCACCTTTTAATTTTTTTCTCTCTATATTGATCCAAATAGGCTTTCGTATAAATCTATATAATAATACAAAACTGCGATATTTTTTTTATAAGCATGTATTCACCCCCTACGAAACTAAACATGATCAATGATAATTCAAATTTGATTTCAGTTTTTGTATATATTACAC